ATTCTCCTGCCTCAGCCTCCCGAGTAGCTGGTATTACAGGCATGCGCCACCATGCCCAGCTAATTTTGTATTTTTAGTAGAGATCGGGTTTCTCCATGTTGGTCAGGCTGGTCTCAAACTCCCAACCTCAGGTGATCCACCCACCTCAGCCTCCCAAAGTATTGGAATAAAGGCGTGAGCCACCGCGCCCGGCCTAGCTGAGAAGTTTCTATTTTCCCATGGACAGTGGGGAGTTACAGAAGGTTCTTGTGCAGGTAAGTGGCATGATCTGAGCTGGACTGTAAGAAAGTTCATTCAGCCACCTGGAGGGAGCAAGACTTGGAGCCAAGGAGGCCACTGAGGGAAAACAGCAGACAGGGAAATGTAGGCAGAGAGACAAGGGAGAGGGAGTTCTGAAACAAGAGGGAGGGATCTTGAACCTTCCCCCGCTCGGTGAAACCTAGCCTGGTTCTTGGTCAGGCCTAGGCTCCTAAACTGGACCCCTGTTCAATTCCCTGTGGACGGGGTTGAGGGGTGTCCCTCTTACTAGCTACACTGCAGTTTGTGACTTTCTGAAGCCCTTGGGTCCACCCTGCCCCTCCTGGTTCCCCTCTTTTCCAGCTTCCCCTTGGAGAGTGGGGTTAATAAGAAGGAATCCAGTCCATGACCAGTCTGCCAGAAAGTGTGCCATTCATTGATTTGCTCTGCGACCTTGGGCAAGTCACTGCCTCTCTCTCTGACCCTATCTCCTTACTAGAAACTGGGCTGATAATCTCTGTTCCTCTCACCTGGGACTCCAGGGAATCTTTGCATTTCATTTGGCCTCCTCTTCCTGCAGGGCTGCCTGCAAGGAGGCAGAGAGAATGGAGAGGCAGGCCTGTCTGTGGGCTCTCAGGTGAGATGGGTGAGGAGGGAGCAGTGGGTGGGCTAGGGCAGGGCCATGGAGAGTGGCATGTATGGTCACTCCATCCCGAGGACCAGCATTGGAGCAGGAGGAGAGCAGCCTTATCCAGGGGCCCTGCTGCTTTGCTACAGATAGGGTAGGAGGGCTTGCCCAGAGGAGGCCTGCCTGCATTGAGGTGTGGAGATAAGTGGGCTCCCCCAGGCCCAAGGAGGCAGACAGGGGCCACCAGGGACCCTGGCACCTATGTGTATATGTCTGAGGAGGGGTCTCTGCATGGCAGGGTACCTGGCTTTACTCACTGCATCTCTGGCCCTGTCAGCTTCTCTCTATCTCTCTCCCTTGCTCTGGCCATGTGTCTCTCTAACCACGTCTCCGCCTGTGCCACCCTCCAGGTGATTCATCTTCCTCACCCCCACGCCTAGGGGGAGGGCAGGGCAAGACCAGGCCAGGATGTGCTGAGCAGGGCAGGGTAAGCGGCACAGCTGAGCGGAGAGGAGCGCCTCCTCCATTCTGGCCAGGCCCTGCCAGCTTAGGTGGGGAAGGAAGTGAGGAACGACACCCAAAGCAAGGTACAGAGTTGGGGAGGGGCGCTCGGCCTGGGGCCTGGGGCACCCTGTTCCCTCAGTGCTGGGAAAGGACCCTGATCTGAGTCCCCTGGGGTGGACCTGACTGGGATGTAGCCAGGGGTGAGGTTAGGGGCCTAGGGAAGCTGCTGGAACCCTGTGGGTTGGGCTATTTCTTCCCTCTGGGACTGGGAGACCTAAAATCCCCTGTGACTCTTTCTGCCTGTGTGACCCTGGAAGGGGAGGGTGCAGAGGTCTTTGTGTGTGTGTGTGTGTGTGTGTGTGTGTGTGTGTGTTTTCACAACAGTTTGCATGTGACATAGTGACTGTTTAGGAGGTGGCAAGTGTCCCACAGGTGTGTATATTCCTGGGCCTAAGGCTAAGACCCAGGGACACTGTGGACGTGTTTGTTAGATGAGTATGACATAGTAAATGACATTTGTCCCTTGGTCTCCATGGGGAATTGGTTCCAGGACGGCCTGAAGATACCAAAGTCACCAACACTCAAGTCCCTTATATAAAATGGCATGTTATTTGCATATAAACTATGTGTATCTTCCTGTATACTTTTTTTTTTTTTTTTTTGAGATGGAGTCTCTATCACCCAGGCTGGAGTGTAGTGGCGTGATCTCGGCTCACTGCAACCTCCACCTCCCTGGTTCTAGCGATTCTCCTGCCTCAGCCTCCCGAGTAGCTGGGATTACAGGCACCCACCACCACGCCCAGCTAATTTTTGTATTTTTGTAGAGACAGAGTTTTGCCATGTTGGTCAGGCTGGTCTTGAACTCCTGACCTTGTGAACCACCCGCCTCGGCCTCCCAAAGTGCTGGGATTACAGGTGTGAGCCACCGCACCTGACCCTTCCTGTATACTTTAAATCATCGCCAGATTACTTAGAATACCTAATACAATGTAAATGCCATGTAAATAGTTGCTATACTGTATTGGGTTTTATTTATATAATTTTTATTGTTGTATTGCTATTTTTTGTTTTTTTTTCCCAAACATTTTCGATCAATCAGCCTCCATGCAGAGGCCGAGGATGCAAAACCAATGGATATGGAGGGCCACCTGTATGCCACATGTCTGTGATTGTGAGTTTGTGATTCTGAGTGTGTGGTATCATGTGACTTTATGCTGTTTTGCCACTGTATGTGATTGTGTCTGACATGGTATAATTGACTCTGTGTGCCTATAGTGTTTGTGTGTAACCATGTTTGCAGGTGTGACATTATGGTGTGTATGACACTCCATGGCCCTGCAATTGTGAGACACGGTATAAATGACAATGTACATCTTTGTGACTCAGTGAAACCATGTTTGAAGAATGTCTAGCTGGGTATATGATTGTATGTGGCTGGGCGGTTATATGAGGCTGTGTGTGAGATGGTAGAATTGCCATTGTGTGACTGTGTGTCTTTGTGATTGCATGACCATGTTTGCAGGTGTGTGTGATACCGCGAGGCTGTGTGATCGTATATGAGGTTGTGACCGCAGGTCTTTGTGACTGTGTGTAACTAGGCTTTCAGGAGGGCGATCACCTACAGTTGGGTGAGATGGTATAAATAACACCAAGTGTTTCTGTGACTGAGTGGGCCCATTTGTGTCTAGTCATTTATGAGACTGTGTGTGATATAGGCTAACAGACCCTCTGTGGCGCTGAGTGGGAGGCCATGTGGCTGTGGCACAGCATAACCAACACCATGTGATGGTGGTACCTCCGGGAGCTCTTGACTACTACTCTCTTGTCCTCACACCTGTTTGCCTCCATCTCTCCCTCTGCAAGGGGTTTTTGTGGCTCCCTTCTGCTACAGGATGGATGTCAGCCTAGCATCCAAGGCCTTTCCCACTCCTCTCTGGCCCCACCTGACCTCTCTATCATTTGAGGCACTCCCACAGCCCCCTGCCCAGCCAGGATCACATGAGCCCCACATTCCTTTCTTTGGGGTGGGGGATCCCTCACTGCCTCCCAGACCAAATCCTCTCTCCTAAGCATGACCATCATCTCCTCTAGAGCCAAAGATAGAGGTGGCTTTAGGGGACATACAGTGAGGGAAGAGGGACAGTACAAAAAGGCCTCCCCTTTTTCCGAACTGGCTGCTTGATTTAAAGTTATTTCTGTGACCTGAACTCTGGATGCTGCACTTGTGTGTGTGGCAGGGGTGGAAGATGCGTGTGGGTCTGTGTAGATGTGGAAGTTGAGGAGGGTAATACAGATTGCTGAGAAGTTGGGATTTTGTTTTCATTTTTCTTCTTCTTCTTCTTTTTTTTTTTTTTCTTGAGACGGCATCTTGCTCTTTTGCCCAGGCTGGAGTGCGGTGGGGTGATCTCAGCTCCCTGGAACTTCCACCTCCCAGGCTCAACTGATCCTCCCACCTCAGCCTCCCAAGTAGCTGGGAATACAGGTGCACACCACCATGCCCAGCTAACTTCTATATTTTTTGTAGAGACAGTGTCTCACTTTGTTGCCCAAACTCATCTCGAATTCCTGAGCTCAAGCAATCCTCCCTTCTTGGCTTCCCAAAGTGCTGGGATTACAGGCATGAGCCACTGTGCCCAGCCAGAAGTTGGGATTTCAAGAAGCAAAACTTGCTCATGAAACACAATTTCATCATTTTTAAGCATACTTAGCTGCACAAAATTGTAAACAAGAAAGTCTAGATATTGTCAGAACCTTAACAAAAACGTTGAAGAATGGTTTATACTCAGCATACCTATGTGGCTATATAAACAAAGGCCGCAAATGCATATATAAAGTTCAGGGTGCTCACAGCCACCCCCAGCCTGGTTAAACTCACTAGTAATACTGCCTGCTGACATACATGGAATCAATGCACTAGTCACAAAGAATTCTTATCTGTTGATGAAAACAGCCAGCCCCAGCCCTGGGCCTGGCTCTCCATCTGAGGGCTAGGATAGGGGCTTCCCAGAAAAACACTGTGGCCAGGAAAGGGGCTCAGAGAAACCCAATACCCCAGATAGCTGCTAAGACATGCCAGTCTTAACTTTAACCCCATTCCCCTTTGGGTTAAAATCAGTTACTTCACACCCATTTTCTCTCTTCCTGCAGGGCTGCACCAGGGAAACCGGATCCTGGTTAAAAGTTTGTCCCTTGACCCTGGCCAGAGCCTAGAGCCTCATCCAGAAGGTCCCCAGAGGCTTCGCTCAGACCCAGGCCCCCCCACCGAAACCCCTAGCCAGCGTCCTTCACCACTGAAGCGGGCACCGGGCCCAAAGCCACAGGGTAAGTGGTCCCGGAAAAGAGCAGAGAAGTGGCCCAGGGGAGGGGTCAGAGGAAGGGAGAAGTTAGCCAGTGGCAGAGAAGAGGGTTTGTTAGAAGGATGGGGAGGCACCGTGCTCCGGGGGCAGTGCTACCTACCTAGTGCACAGAGGGCTGTGGCCTGAGGCTAATGTGTGCATACTGTGATCTCACCTCAGCCCCTTTGTGTCTACCTCAGGCAAAGGTGCAGATTGTGGTTTGTGGAGGGGGTTGTGGCCTGGCCATGACAGCCAGCCACCTCCAAATCCAGCTTTTTTTTTGAGACAGAATCTCACTCTGTCATCCAGGCTGGAGTGCAGTGGCATGATCTTGGCTCACTGCAACCTCTGCCTCCTGAGTTCAAGCAATTCTCCTGCCTCAGCCTCCCAAGTAGCTGGGACTACAGGCACGTGCCACCACGCCCAGCTAATTTTTGTATTTTTAGTAGAGATGGGATTTCACCGTGTTAGCCAGGCTCAAATCCAGCTCACTGATGTCTCCCTTCTCTCTTCCCCATTCATCTCTCCAGTGCCCCCAAAGCCCAGCTACCTGCAGATGCCCCGGATGCCACCCCCACTGGAGCCCATCCCCCCTCCACCATCACGCCCACTGCCTGCCGACCCCCGAGTGGCCAAAGGCCTGGCCCCCAGAGCAGAGGCCAGCCCCAGTTCTGCAGCAGTATCCTCACTGATTGAGAAGTTTGAAAGGTGAGTCTGGTCCCTAGGGCACCCTCTAGGGGAAAGGGGGAGCCTGGGACAGGAAAGGATAGTCAGGAGAGGCCTCTCAGTCAAGCTCATACCCTGCCTCCATGTGTGTCCACCACCCACCTCAGAGAGCCTGTGATTGTCGCCTCGGATAGGCCAGCCCCTGGCCCCAGCCCAGGTCCCCCAGAGCCAGCCATGTTGCCACAGCCACCCTCGCAGCAACCAGTGCCCCAGCTCCCAGAGGGCGAGGCCTCTCGCTGCCTGTTCCTGCTGGCTCCTGGGCCCCGGGACGGCGAGAAGGTGCCCAACCGGGACAGCGGCATTGATAGCATCAGCTCGCCATCCAACAGCGAGGAGACCTGCTTCGTCAGTGATGACGGGCCCCCCAGCCACAGCCTCTGCCCTGGGCCCGCTGCCCTGGCTAGTGTGCCTGTTGCCTTGGCCGACCCCCACCGGCCTGGCTCCCAAGAGGTTGACAGTGACCTGGAGGAGGAGGACGACGAGGAGGAGGAGGAAGAGAAGGACAGAGAAATCCCAGTGCCCCTGATGGAGAGACAGGAGTCTGTGGAGGTACTGACCTGTGTTCACTGAGAGGCAGGACCATGTGGAGAACCTGGGAGCCTTTTATGCTTGATTCTTCCCCTAGCTCAGTATTTCTCGAAATAAGACCTTGTTTCCAAGCTCTGTGACACTGGGCAAGTCTTTTCCCCCTCCGCTCCCCTACCATAAGCCTCAGTTTCCTTATTTGTAAAATGGAAAGTCTCTTACATCCATAGAGACTTCTCCACAGCTGGAGGAGGGGCGCAAGAGCTAGAGCCCTGCAGGGGCCTGAGGCTGTGCAGATGAAGGCTCTTGGCAGCAGGGACCCCTTTCTGTGCCTGGGCAGCCTAACATTTCTTCAGAAGGCACCCTTGCACTTGAGTTAGATCTCAGCCAGAATACTTGCTCTGCTAGGACCAAGCTCAAGTGTGGGGGCCAAAGCCAGGGACTGCCAGCATGGCAGGTAGTCAACAAATATATCTAACGAATAGGAAACTGGGCCAACAGGCAATGAGTTTTATACGTTCTTATACTTTTGTGCTTTTCTCACACCCCAGGTACTCAGCAAGCCCTTGCTGATAGTGTACTGAATAGGTGAATAAATGATTAATTAACATTTATACGCCATTTAATCTGTAGTCTGCTGTGTTTTATTGATACATTATCAATAGACTTCGGTCCTATTATTATTTTGTTTTTGTTTCTCGCCAGCCTCTACGTTAAATAGATCCTATTATTATCTGTATTTATGGATGAGGCGTCCTAAATACAGAGCTGTTAAAGAAGTTATGCAAGCTAGTGAATGGCAGAGCTTAGGATTTGAACCCAGGAAGTCTGACTTACCATCCCAAAAATGCTTAACCACTACACTCTGCTGAGTCAGAATAGAGAGAGCGGGTGAATGAGTTGTTGAGTGAGGGAGTGCATGTCATCAGAATGGAGGGGTAGGCCTTATGGTAGACTGGGGAGTCAGGGATGAAGCTGAAGGACTTACAGATCTGGAGATGGGGGTCAAAGTTATCTTAGGGTGGTATTAGGCTTAGAGTGGCATGGGAACTGTTTTAAGAATTCTGGGGGCTTGGATGAGGGTTAGGATAGAAGGATGATGGATCAGGGGTTACTGTTTCTCCTTTCCAGTTGACTGTGCAGCAAAAGGTGTTTCACATTGCCAATGAGCTCCTGCAAACTGAGAAGGCCTACGTTTCCAGGCTCCATCTCCTGGATCAGGTGAGTGACCCCTTGCGGTCACCAGGGCCCCAGGACCTTGTAGGTGCATTTCAAGGAGGAAGTGATAGGGCCTGAGTTCAATCCCACCATTGTGGCCAGAATTTAGAGGCGGTAAGACTCCTCTCTGACCTTGAAGTCAACTTGTCCATGAAGCCAACTCTGATTATGCCCCAAGCTTGATCGTGATACCAACCCTCACTCCTAATGCTGGGCAGGTATACCAGCCCTGACTGCGACCTGACACTAGTACTGACTCAGACCCAGATCCTGAATTTATCCCTAGCTGTGAACTTCATTCTAACCCTAGCCCTATTCCAGATCCCAAATCCACTAGAATCCCTGAGAGTAGAGATTTTTATCTTTGTTCACTGCTCTATCTTACCCTCTGTGACAGTGCCTCGCACACAACAGACACTCAAAAATATTCATTAAATAAACGGATCTAATTCCAACTTTCTCTCTGACCCGAATCTAATTCTAAGCCTGACCTTGATCCTGACTTCTAATTGTTCCAAAGCCTAACTCTTGGCAGCAGGGACCCCTTTCTGTGCCTGGGCAGCCTAACATTTCTTCAGAAGGCACCCTCACACTTGAGTTAGATCTCAGCCAGAATACTTGCTCTGCCAGGATCAAGCACAAGTGTAGGGGCCAAAGCCAGGGACTGCTGGAATAACCTGAAATCCATCTCCCCAATATATAACCCTAACCCCATTCCCTGTCTCCTCAGTCTCAAGACCAATGCTGATTCCAAAGCTCCACAAGCCTCCCCACAAATACTGCCCTCACCCATAAGCTGCCCCTTCACCAGCCAAGCCCCAGGCCCAGCTGGGCTGAGTGCTTCTGCCCTGCCCCACAGGTGTTCTGTGCCCGGCTGCTGGAAGAAGCTCGGAACCGCAGTTCCTTCCCGGCCGACGTTGTCCACGGCATCTTCTCTAACATCTGCTCCATCTATTGCTTCCACCAGCAGTTCCTGCTGCCTGAGCTAGAGAAGCGCATGGAGGAATGGTGAGGGGCCCTAGACCTAGACTGCCCACTCCCCTGTCCACCTGCCTGCCGAGCCCAGACCCAGAGGTGTACACAAGACTTCATTGCTACTTGCTCTTCCTCTTAGTGACTTTTGAAAAAAGAATCAGAGCCGGGCACGGTGTCATCCCAGCACTTTGGGAAGCTGAGGCAGGTGAATCACCTGAGGTCAGGAGTTTGAGAACAGCCTGGCCAACATGGCAAAACCCTGTCTCTACTAAAAATATTAAAAATTACCCTGGCCTGATGGCACGTGCCTGTAGTCCCAGCTACTCGGGAGGCTAAGGCACGAGAATCACTTGAACCCGGAGGCAGAGGTGTGGTGACCCAAAATTGCACCATTGCACTCCAGCCTAGGTGATAGAGCTAGACTCTTAAAAAAAAGAAGAAAAAGAAAAAAGAATCAGGCCCAAGCTCTGCCTTCCAGGACCTCCCAGTCTGATGTGGAACACAGACCAGAACTCAGAAAATTACAACAGAATAGCATAGCCTACAGGAGTATTAGGTTAGGAGCCAAATTGGCTGAGTTCAAATTCCAGCTGTGCCAATTGGTAACTTTGAGCAAGTTTCTTAAGTTGCTGTGTCTCAGTTTCCTCATCTATAAAATGGGGGAAAATAATAACGGCCTACCTTGTAGGGTTGTTTTAAGGATTAAATAACTTAATACATAAAAGAGCTTAGAACAGTACCAGTATAGGCCAGGCATGGTGGCTCACGCCCGTAATCCCAGCACTTTGGGAGGCCGAGGCGGGCGGATCACGAGGTCAGGAGATCGAGGCCATCCTGGCTAACACGGTGAAACCCAGTCTCTATTAAAAATACAAAAAATTAGCCAGGTGTGGTGGTGGGCCCCTGTAGTCCCAGCTACTGGGGAGGCTGAGGCAGGAGAATGATGTGAACCTGGGAGGTGGAGCTTGCAGTGAGCTGAGATCATGCCACTGCCCTCTAGCCTGGGCGACAGAGCAAGACTCCGTCTCAAAAAAAAAAACCAAAAAGCAAACAAACAAACAAAAAACAGTACCAGGTGTATACAATAAGTGCTCAATGGACGTGAGCCTTTTTTATTTTTACAGTGCTATGATAGAGCAGAGAATGGGAGGCTGTGGGAATCCAGACAACTGGACCAAGCCTAGCTTGGAGATTACAGAAGGATTCAGGGAGAAGGTGATGCCTAAGCTGAGTCCTCAGGTAGAAGGGCAAGGTTTACAGGCAGCCTCCCAGGCTCCAGGCCTTCTTCCAATCCAGCCTTTAGTGTCCACACAATTTGCCAGAATGGTCTTTCTAAACAACAGTCAGACCGTGTCTCTCCCTGCTTAAAATCATGTCCACATTCCCCATACCTACAGATTCTCCACACCTACAGAGTCAAGTGTGTCCCCCTCACCAGACTGTGACCACAGAGGGCCAGCATGAAGCCTGGTTCCTATATTTCCCCACGAGTCTGTGAACCCTGAGGGCTGGGGCCAGGTCTGGTTTGCTTTGCTCCTGCACCAGACTGACCAATGAGGAGTAAGACCAGGCCTGGTCTCTTTGTCTTACCTACCAGATGGTGACCCTCTCAGGGCTCAAATGGGTGTGACTCATTTCTGTGTCCCCAGCATCACCCAGCACACAATTGATAATCAGTATATGAAGTGGTCCTGGCAGTAAGGTCTCAGGGTGGGTACTCCAACCAGCACTCGGGCAGGGCAGAATTGAGGCAGGTGGCATCCCAGGCTGTGGTCTGAAGTCAAGCCGAGCCTCTTGGCCTCATTGGCCTGCAATGTAAGCAGTATTTCTGAAGGAGCAGACTAGCTGAGAAGTAGGTTTCTAAGACTGAGATGAAATGAAAGGTATCTGGAGACCTGTGGGGGAAGATTCTGAGGGGCAAAGAGCAGCAGGACCACATCAGCCCCTAATTCCACCCCAGGGACCGCTACCCACGCATTGGAGACATCCTGCAGAAACTGGCCCCCTTCCTCAAGATGTATGGTGAGTATGTGAAGAACTTTGACCGGGCTGTGGAGCTGGTCAACACCTGGACAGAGCGTTCCACCCAGTTTAAAGTCATCATCCATGAGGTGCAGGTAAGTGGTCAAGCTGGAGGGAGCAGACTGGGGGAGGAGAGGTCTGCAGGGACGTGGTGGGGGATCTGCAGCCAGATCTGAGCCCCTCTGCTTCTGCCTGTCACAGAAGGAGGAAGCCTGTGGCAACCTGACATTGCAGCACCACATGCTGGAGCCTGTGCAGCGCATCCCCCGCTATGAGCTTCTTCTCAAGGACTATCTGTTAAAGCTGCCCCATGGCTCCCCGGACAGCAAGGATGCCCAAAGTGAGTGTGTGCACCCAGGCCCCTTCCTACTTCTCCACACTAATAACTCTAGGCCAGACCTCTGAGGCAGGACCCCAAGACTTAATTCACAGGGTCAGCCTTCCATTGCCTCATGATTGAGATGCCAGGAGGAGGATCTCCAAACTGAAAGGCCCACATTGAGGTTCTAAAGTGAGACCCCAGGATGAGATCCTCCTTCTGAATGTTCTCTTTGGGTGTTCAGGCAGGGCCCTCCAAGTTGAGACCCCTGCCCTAATACCTGAAGAGAACATTCAGAAGGAGACCCCCAACCTGAACTTCCCAACTGGAAGCCCAGAGTTTGAGGAGCATGCCTATTATGATCCCCTAAAGGAACTCATCCATTTCCTAGATTGAGACCCCAAGGCTGACCCCTAGACTCACCCCCAGATGAAGTTGTACCAAATGAGAAAGGAAACTGAGCCTGAAACTTCAGGGACTGAGCCACCACGCTGAGAGGCCAGACTGACCTCTCAGGCCAAACCCACATCACAGAATCTCCACAGCTGAGCAACCCAGAGAGAGCCCTGGCTCATCAATTTTGCATCCTCCAGATTTAGAGCTTTCCTCCATGTCCATCAGCCACTACCCAGAATGAACCTCCCAAAAGAACCTCCAAATTGAGCACCCTAGACTGGACCCCAAATTTTCCACCTCTCAAATTTGGATCTCTAGGCTGAGATACCTCCTCCCCAGACTGAATCCTTACACATTGAACCACTAGAAAAGTCTTCTATCCCGATTCCTCCAGTATCAGCCTGAAACCCATACCCCAGATAGAGCTCCCCACAGCCTACCTCACTTTCTCTTCCCCAGATTGTTATTTTCATTCATTCATTCATTCACTTAACAGCTACTTACTGAGCACCTCCATGTTTTTGTGCATTGTTCTAGGTACTGGGGATATAGAGGTGAACAAAACAGACAAGGTCCTTGATCTCAGGGAGCATATATTCTAGTCAGCAAGAGACACAGTAAACAAAAATAATAAACACACAGTAGAGGCCAGGCGCAGTGGCTCATGCCTGTAATCCCAGCACTTTGGGAGGCCGAGACCAGGGGATCGCCTGAGGTCAGGAGTTTGAGACCAGCCTGGCCAACATGGTGAAACCCTGTCTCTACTAAAAATACAAACATTAGCTGGGCGTGGTGGCGGGCACCTGTAATCCCAGCTATTCGGGAGGCTGAGGCAGGAGAATTGCTTGAACCCAGGAGGCGGAGGTTGCAGTGAGCCGAGATTGCGTCACTACACTTCAGCCTGGGAAACAGAGC